TATTCTTTATGTTAATCTTATGGTTCCTCTTCTATTTATAAATTAAAAAATCTAACATGTATGTGAAAGATACTCGTTCGTGGGAGAATACTATATAATTTTAAAAAAGTTAAAACTATAAAATTTTTATACCTTATAAATCTATCTAAATTTATATTTTTTTCATTGTTCATAATAAATAATAGTTCTAGTAGGAATCATTTTTAAGCATTTAATTTAATGGTGTTATTTATCTTTTTTGTCAAAGTTTAGCTTTCATATATACATGGTAATTATGTTTGAATTGGTTGTAACTATATAGTTAATGTAAAATTAATTTCCTACTATATAGATAACTAATCTAGAACGTATTTAATTTCTTATATTTGTTAATTTTCGCAAGTAAAATATCTAAAGATAATAAACTATTTGTAATAATTAGATTTTTTATCTATCTTATGCCTAACTTTGAAGTTACAATATTATAATCCTATAAACTCGTATATTTAAATAATATCTAAATTTTGGTTGCCAAAACTTTGGACACTCAATTAAACCCTAATTTAACCACTTTCTTACATACACGAGAAATCTAATATTTCTTATTTCACACCCAATTATTTTTGTTTTCCACTTGGATTATATAGAGATAAAGAAAAGCCTCAAATTAGAGTGAGAAATTCATTTTCAAACATAATGAAAGTTATCTCACTCCATCCTATATAATTATCTGGATAAAATGAGATTTATTATAACATTTTTTTAAAATAAAAAATAAAAATATAATAACTATTTATTTGAATTAATTAAATTATTTAATTAGATTTAAACCATAAAATAAAAGTGTTTATAGAAGATAAAATAAATTAAGTTTTAAATAAAGATAAAAGAAAAATAATTATATAAAAATAACGTTAAAAAGATAAAATTAAGATAGAAGTAAATTCAATATGATCTTTAAAATTTCAACTTTATTCATTAATATATAAATACGTGTTAAATTATCTCTCTTTTCATTTTATATTTAAATAGTTTCTAACATTTGTGATAAACCTTAGGAGATGATACGAGAAAAATTTAGAAAACAACTCTTAGATTAGCAAGAGATATCTTGAAATATTGCGCCATTTGAGATGAAAGGGAGAGTGAAAAATATTTCGAATATATTATAAAGATTAAAGATAGACAATTAATTTAAGCTTCAATAGGATTTTATCTTGTTCAATTTCTATAATAATAAAATTTTAAATTTATTATAACAAATCATAAATAAATTATTATTTATATTATTTTTAAGATCATAAAATTCAATTTATACAAATTGAATAGAGTTTTGGAAGACCCCTTATCACTTAATAAAAGAGTAAGAATATATTGAGTTGAATTTAAATCTCATACGTTATAATTCAATTATTGATCTATATTATTTTGGGATCTTGTGATATTTAACATTCAAAGATTTATGAAGATATTTAGGAATGTTTTATTTTTTAATTAGGAAGTGATCTTCGTTGAAGTTGTAGTCTTGAATGTTAATTAACTAATGGTATCAGTTTCATGTAAAAATATTATGTATAATTCATGATTTTGTTATTAATTAAAGGTCATGTTGTCAATATTAGAATAAAAGTTTGTATTTTATTTATTTATTTTAGGTCTAGCAAATAATTGAACTAGATTTTAATATCAACATAATTATATTAGATTTAAAAAATGTAAAAATAATATCTTATGATTAGTATAACTATATATATTGTTTTTCTACCAAATTGATATCATAAATGTGAAAGTGAATGATATATTTATCCCAAGAGTGACAGGATATAATGACTTTCTATACCTAAACCTTATGTATATATATATATATGTATAATGATATATTTTGAGATGTGTAATAATTAATTATATATATAAATGAGATGTTATATTATAAGGATTTATGTTTTGCTTTGAAGAACTTTTAAGTTATTATAATGTTTGAGAGTTATTCTTGTGTTTTGAAAAGTCTAAGTAATTAAAGTCTTAGCAGAGTGAAAATTAAAGTTATACTTTACCATTTATAAATTTAAATGGTGGTTTAACAATAAAAGTCTAAGCAATGACTTATCACTGAAAATTAAGTTATGTTTAATCATTTGAAATGGATTATGCATTTATGTGTAATGTATTCATGTGTACATACTTCATTTGTTATACTTTCTTGGAAGTGGATGCTATGAAGGGTAATTATGATCTCATATCTTGTCCTTAAAGATTTTAGAGTACGAGACCTTTCGTCTGAATTAGATGATAGTAAATCACATCACAACCAATTATACTATCTCGACGGACTCTTGTTACATTTGTTCCAATTGAAAGTCAATTGATAGAGTCATTGTGATCTGTTTTATATACTAGGCCACTTAAAAAACGTGTGCATTGTGAGTTTATGATCGAGTACATGTTGATAAGATAACATTTGTGCGAGTTGAGTTCTATCCGACCGACTTAATTGAATGAATTTACGATTGAATATGTATTGATAAGATAACATTCACACGTATTTTAGTTCTACTTTATTTGTTATATATATATATATCTATAACATATGTTATATATATATATATATATATATATATATATATATATATATATATATATATATATATATGTATATATTTCACCCTTCTTTATTTATATTATTTGTTTACTTGAAATATCTTTACTCGTAGTCCAATTTTCCATAAGAAGGAAAAGATAGATGATGAAACTTAGACTTCTTTTATCATTATTTTATAGAATGTCCTGATTAGATGTAACATCGAGACAAAAATATCATACATGCATTTTATTTTAAAAAATTATGTTGATATTTTGTAAAGACAATTTTAATGTTTCAAAGACTTTTATTTAAAAAACTAATATATGCGAGTCATTTTATCTTTTAACGTTTCGTATTTTATTAATTAATAAAAAAATATTTTAAATAAAAGATATCACATTTCTACTCATTTATATATTATAATATTATTATATTTTTAATCTATATGAATTTACTTACATCCGTTACTTTCAAAAAGATTTTTCAATAATTTCAACGTCATTAAAATTGTCTCAAGTACTCTATTAAAAATTGAGTATCCGATTCAACTTTTCAAAACCTATTTAATAAAATGAAATTTGTATCCACGTATTTACTATCTCTAATACATACTAAATTTCATCACAATCATAAATCGTAATCCTTAATTAAAGAATTGAACCACTTGTATCAATGATTTTTGGTATCTAACCTACTCTTTTTCACTGCTCTCTCTAAACTTTATACGTTATGGTTGGCTCTCACTTCATGATAATAACTAGACGTAGTGCAAGTTGGATCGTGGGTGTTTTGTTGTTGAATCTTGCTTCTTATAGACCAAGTAGTTACCATGTGAAGTCTCTTTCAAGGACCAAATTTGAGGCTACGACATCTCGATAACAACACATTTTAGGTCATTTGCATCGTAAAACTTTATAGTTTTAAATAATGTAAAGAAACTATATTTAACAAAAAAAATTCAAATCCTCCTTTAATTTTCATAGTTGTGGGTAGCTATAATTTTAATGCCTGGAAAAATTGAATTATACATTTGATCTTTTAATTTTTTATTTCAAATTAGGTCATCCTAGTTCCCTGTTAATATATATTTAATTACCAATACAAGATGATGTGTTTATAAATTTAAATGGCATTCATACCATTTTAAAATATTTGTTTCAATGTCATATATTATTAATAAAATAATACTCATACTCTTTATTTTATTTATATTTTTTATAATGTATTTATATAGCATTAAAATTATACTTAAATATAATAAATTTAGACATACATTTTTATAATTATTTATCTGTTTATAATATTTTCTTAAAAATATATTTTCTGTATATTTTATAAAAAAAATTATTATTGAACGACAATATGTTATTTTTAGACACTTTTTAACATATAACAATTAAATCGTTATTTTATAAAATTATTTAGTTTGTATATTTTAAAATTTTATTTTTAACTTTTTGATCAATACATTACTTTTAAATAACAATAGAAAGTTAAGTATCAGTATATTAAAAATGTATGGGCATTTTAAAACTAAAACTGTGTAATTATTATTTTATTAAAAACTTAGAAAATAAACATGAGTGTTGTTTAACATAATCTAAAAATAAATAAAGATAAAATTATTTTATTAATATTTTATTAAATGACTGAAAATATTATTTTAGTGATAATTAAATAAAACATTATCTTAGAATTGCAATATAAAACCAATTGTTAATACATATAATAGTTTAACATATATTTAAATCATATTATAATATCACATTATGAGATAAATAGATGATATAAGACCTTCAATACGTTACTTAAATCTCTAACAAAATCTATCGGATCAAATAAATAATAAATAATATTTTTGACTAAAAAAGGATAATATTTTTGTCCAAGACAATAATAAAAAAGAAATTAGATTTTTTTATAATATCATATTAAAATTTTAACATAAAACTAATTAAAAAATAATAATAATTAACAATATATAAAATAATCTATGAGCTATACTGAATGAATCAAAATTTGTATAATTTTAACCAAATAGAAAGATTGAATTAATATTTTTTATATATTTCATCTTACAAAATAAATTTTACATTTTAATTTGATAATATATGTAATGAGTATAGGTCTCCGATATTAATTTTTGTTTTAAAGTGTTTATAAAAGTATGAATTCATAGGATATTAAGAATAGTTTATAAATATATTTTTTTTTAATCTATTGAATGTGTTTTATTTAAATAATGATTATTGGTGGAGTGAAGAAGGTTTAACCTAAAGAAGAAGAAGAAGAAGAAGAATTGAGTTGTACACGTGTTGAAAAGCATGGAAAGGCAAAGGGTGTCCCACTGGTGATCATTCATGATTCTGTGAGGACAGGGTGTAACAGCGACAGGACCTCTTCCTCATCAATGAAGAGAAGAAGGGGCACAGAGAGTTAACTACAAACTGCAAAACACAACCCAAAGGTCCACGGCTTCCTGCTTCACCTTCACATGTGATGTTAGGGTTAAGAGGAAGATATTTGTGTCTCTCACAGATGCACATTTGGAGTGCGAACACCGAATCGGAGAGAACCCTTTTGACCTAAACTTTTCTTAATCTCAAACAAATTGAATTGTTGAGGGAAAAATGTGAACCCTGATTGTGTTGCATATGGGCGAAACCCCACCAAAAGGTGACAGACAGAAAGCTCATGTTCACATGCAGGAAAGCTTGGTTTCACTCGACCATGGAGACAGTTTGGTACATTGGCTAGGGTAATGGAGCCTGTACGATCCCTCTTCCACATGCTGCTCAATTAATTGGAGGCTTAATTAGATCTCTGAGCTCTGGGAACAAAGAGGGTCTCATCATTCCATTTTTATAGGACCCATTTACTAACATTTTCCATTCAGTCAATACTCCTTGTCTTGTCATTCCTTTTTCAGTATAAATTATTGACTTTCCTCTACTCTCACACATTTTACACATAAAATAATATATAATTAATAAATAAATAAAATATTTTTGTTTTTTTATATTTCTTCAATTTTTCATTTATTTATTATATTTAACAAGAATATTCTTTCAATTCAATAATTTAAATGTATATTATTATAATAATATACAATTATATATAATATTACATTTAAAGAATAATTATTAATATTTAAACAAATATAATTTGTTATTTAACAGATTTTAAAAAATCTATAGATAATACTAATGTATCTTTTATAAATTATTCCATTCTTATTCAAAATATTTCTCTATTGTTTTTATTTTTAAGTAAATATTATAATTTTTTAAATTATAAATATACATATAATTTAAAAAATGATTTTTCCTATGTAATTAATTAAATACAAGTTATTTATGTGATACAACATTCTATTACATAATTTTTTTAAAATGTTCATGTATGAGAAAAATACATTGAGATAAAAAGATTAGAATAATATTTTTCAGAACTAACAGTAATAATAGAAAAAATAAAATTATTTTAAATTTCAAAGACTTGAAACGTATTTAAGGTTATTAAGAATAATAACTTACACAATAATATTGAATAATTTTCAATAAATTGTTTGATAAAAAAATAATAGAATTTTTTTTAATATATTTCTTGAAAATGTAAAACAGTTTAACACTGTCATTCTAATATAAATTATCAGTTTTTTTATCATTAATATATCTTATGTGGTATTCATTATAAGAATCAACAAACTTATATTGTATAATTTCTTCAATGAGTTATAGTATAAACTATTTTATGTTGCCCATACATAACTTTTATTGAATATTTAATGTTAGAATTTAATTATATAGTAATTTAGAATTTTGTATATACGTAGTTATAATTACCACTGTACAAAATTAATAAATATCGATTAATTTAGGGAAAAAGTGTTTAGTTATTGTATTAATTAAATTAAATTTTATTTTAACTAAAATGATTTTTAAAAATTGCACAAGAAAAAAATGTTATTATTGTGGGAGTACACATATAAAACATAAGACTCTATCTATATTCTGGTTAAGATTTGATAGTTTGATTCTTAGACGTATATATAATAAATGACCCAAAAGTGTACACATAATTTGAAGATTGACGATAATTAATGCAAAAGTTTTATTCAGATCTATAGAATGATTCATCAAAATTGTTGCAAACATGAAGACCTAAATGTACTTATAAATCTTAATTCAAAAAATTTATGATTTTAATCATTTTAAATTTTTTTACTATAACCACCCTTTTAGTAATTTGAATTTCAATGGTAACAACTGATTTTTGAAATTTTAAAATTGCATAAAGTTTTCTCATTAAAAAAATAATTGCCATTCAAAAATTCATATATTCTTAATTAGAATATAATAAACCTATTTAAAAGACTAAATTAAGCTTTTAATTTTTTTATTTTTTAATTTTATTGTAAATATCCAATCTTAAAAACTGGAGTACATCATAAACGTACGAGATATCGATCCACTCGAGATATCTGAAACATCAAGATATATGAATGAGTATTTCGAGAGATATAAAACCGAGATACCTGGATTTTAACAAATTTATTTTTATGAGACTAAGATAGAGTTTTGTGATGTTGTGGCTGGCGGAAGAGAGTTATGAAAAAAAGAGTTAAGAAAAAAGAAGAAGAATCAGACTAAAAATATAGAGTTGGTTCAATTTTATAAAACTGATTATTTGAAAAAAAAATTGAAAATTGAAAATTGCATAAGTTTTATAATTCTAATTTATTATTGTTATTTTCAATCTTGCAATTTTTAAAAAATTATTTAAATTCTTTTGACTAGTAATTTGATATTGTTAAAATGAACATATTTTTTTAATATATATAATAAGAGTGGAGTTTATTTATGTTAAATCTAAACGGAGAATAAATATTTTATAAGTTAAGTTGAGTAGATTATAAATAGGAAAAAAAAAAGCATACAACTGAAAATTTTCTTCTTTCTCTCTAAAATTTCTTATCTATCTTTTATTTTATTTTATTTTTATATCCAAACGTGAGATTTCGGGCAAAGATGAATATTGTCCGTTAAAAAGATTATAATAGTTTGTTCAATTTATTTATTAGGATATATTTTTGGGTAGGATTCAACTTTTTTATCTTCTAAAAACTTGTGGGAAACTTTTATCTGGTGAAGAAAAAGTTAGTTAAATAAGGAAACTAGCTTTTCAATTTCATAGTAATTCACCTTTAGCGTAGATTATATGAATATGATGATATGGACATGTGATACACCTTGGTCATATAATGTTTGAATTATAGAGATTGTAATAAAATTGTGTGTGTAAGTTTTGAGAGTTGTCTTAGAATGAGACTTGTAAAAAAGATATCATTTTTTCATAAGAGTATAGCTAGCATGGAGTGTATCTAATATGAATATAATAATACTTTATTAAAAAAATATTTACTTTCATCTAATAGAAAAAAAAACTAATTCATTCTTTATTTATATTTATCTATTAGAATAGATTTTTTTAGAGAGGATCGTAATTTTATATAATTTATAATTTTGATATCTAAACTTTAATATATTTATTTATATATTTATAATTTTATTCTTGTAATTTTTTTTTAATTTTGTAATTTTTATATAATTTATGATTTTATTTCTCTAATTTAATAATAATTTTATATATTTATTTATATATTTATAACTTTATTTTTTTTATTATTTTTATATTTATTTATTATTTTTTAATAATATTTTTTTTAATCCCAGAATCAATTGTATGGCAGCAATCAGACTGAAGTGAAGCATGATCAAAGTGTGATGATTAGAAATAGGCATGTGTGTGTGTCCTTTTTGCAGTTATGGAGTGAATTGTTTGATGGAGGAAGATGTAGATGATGAAGGGCGTTTTGTCAAATGACCTCAGAAGTTTTGTTTGGCAGAGCTTTTTGAAGGAAGAAACATGGATGCAAAGGAAAGCATAGTCAATGGGATCATATGATAGATGGGACTTTTTGTTCTTCCAATTAATTCTCACTTCTCACCGGACCCCTCCTTCGTTTTGACCTAAAACTAAATATACAAAATTAATGCTAATGATGACACTTTCCACTCAGTTGCCTCGTGCCATAATAATGTTTCCTGTACTTCTCCCAATGTTTTGTTAGGTTGGGTATTTTATACCACACAACTTACCTTCACTTTTTTTTTTTACGTAATAATTTATTTATTAAAATATATTTCTTATTTTATTAAGTCGATTATATAAAATCAAATTAAATATCTTATTATTTTTAAAATAGTATTAAAGTTAACTCTAATAATACAATAACATTGATTGTTAACCGTAATAGAACTATCTGTTATTAAATTAATATTAGATCACTTAAAATCTTGGACCACTAAAAATATGATACTATAATATATAGTTACTAAAAAAAAATTATTTAAATATACTAAATTCGGATCTTTTAAATAAAGTTGCCAGAGATGAAATAATATAATGGAAAAATTAGTCCATAACTTAGAAATGATGATTAAAAAATTTATAAACAATTTTTTTAAAGATAAAATTATAATAAATTAAAAATTTTAAATGGATAATATTCTAATAATTTACCTAAAAATGTTATTATAACATAGTTGAGATATTTAAAAGAAATGAAAAATAAAAAATTACTAAATTTGAAGTTGATCAATTTTAGAGTGTTAAGTTTGAATTAGATCCATTTTAGAAGTATTAATGGGTTGGTTGTGTCAAGTTTAAAGAAAAAAAATATATTAAATATTTAATTTTTATTAGTTTAAATAGATCCATTCACTATTTTTTATACAAACCAATTCAATAAAAATGATTTTTTTTTCAAATGGATAATATTCGTTTATGAGAAAAATAAATACAAGATTGTAACAAAATATAATACATACTATTAAACCTTCAAACTTTATACATAATAAATAAATAAATCGCGTCATTAATTTGATTATACATTATAAATCTAGTAATTGAATTTATTGATGGGTTGGATTAAGTAAAATATAATTAAGTTCGATATACAGCTATAATTTGATTTGAACGTGGTGAATGATACGAAGAAATCGATAATAAATTGACAACATACAAATTTTTCAAAAAAAAAACAATATATATATATATATATATATATATATATATATTAAGATTTTTTATTAATTAAAAGATAAAAAGAAAGTCAAGTTAATAGTTGGTTTTGCAAAGATGGAGAATGTGGAGTGATTAATTAATATAATTAACAGAGTCAAATGAAAATGGAAGGTTGCAGGGGGAGGTGCAGGTTCATGATGATTTAGGGTTTCCTAGGAATACATGGAGCAGAAATTACTGGAACAAATGCAACACATGATGATGACCACTGTGTGATTGATTGATCTTACATTTCCAATTCACCATCTTACTTTCTAACTCCATTATTATTTTAAAATGCATTTTTTAATAGATATAATTAAAAAAAAGAGGAATATAGGATTTTAGCTTTATATATAATATTTAATGATGATTTTCTATTGTTGTCTAAAAAGGTAAATATCACATTTTAACACATTTTTTAGCCAAAGGAAGACATATTTTTATGGTTGTATCCCACATTAAGTTAGTCATTTTTATCCAGCTATTAATTTAAAAATTAGTGAATGCCTTATTTATTTATTAATTAATTAATTATTATAAAAAATGAATGAATCATTAAATTTGTCTTCATTATATCGTCAAATCAAATTATCAATATTATTTTTCAATATCCTATTAAATCACGATATCAAAACTTTTTTTATAAGACATTCACAAATAACTAATAAGTTTCGCAATCATAAATATTATAGAAAATAAATTTAGATAAACTCATGAATTAGTATTTGCATTAAGATAATAAAATAATTTTTTGTATAAATAAAAATTAGTTTAATATTAACAAATAATTTTAACCAAATGATAATCACATGTAAATTTAATAAAATGGATTTTTTTTCTTTAAAATAAAATTTAATAATAAAATCTTACAGTTAGAAAAGATTCATAAGTTTAACGTTAATTCAAATTAGTTTACCGTCGAGAAAATCTAAAATTTTTTATATTGTACTTTTAGTCTGAAAAAATTTGATTGGTATTAGTTTTTTTAATTATTATTATTATTATTATCTTCTTCTTCTTTATTTGTCAAACTTGTTATAAATTTGTTTAATATAACAAATTATATTTAATTGGGTAAATTGTATTTTTATTCCTTACTTAAAAAAATCATTTTACTCTCTTATTTTTTATTTTTTTTATCAATCTTAATGTCTCTGTTTTTTTTTTCTGAAATTTTTTTACATCTTAAACTATATAAAAAAGCATCCATATTTGATTACCTTTTTTATTATAGTTTTAATTAAACAATTGAATTAATTAAATTTACATTTGTTGCATTTATAAACAGATCTGTTTTACCCACAAGTTTTCTATATAACATAATTATCTGATTAATTGTTCGCTTTAAACTTTGATTTATGATATTTTTATCTTTAAAAAATAATATTTAATAATTTAAGAAAATAAAATATAATCTAAATTTTTAAGTTAAATGAAAGTTATGAATATATATTGAAACATGTTTTATAATATAATACAAATATACATGGAGAGAAAAAGATTTTTGTTGTGGTTGAAATGTAGATATTGATGATAATTCAAGTGAGAATTAAAATCTTGTATGAAGTAAAAATAAAAAAGTTGAATAATGTATAAATGAGAATGCTCAGAAAAATACATAAGTATTGTATTTTTTTGTATAATGGACTCACGTGATAATATCTTGTTGCTATTAAACCTCTAAAAAGTTATTAATTAAGATATATATAAATAAGATTTTCTAATAATGAATAAATTATTAGCTTTTAAATTTTCCCTGCACTTGTATTTTGTCTCTATCTATATGCGTTTTGTTTCACACTTTCACTTGATAATATTTGAATTTGGGTTATAAGACAAAGGGGAACACTTGATAAGGGAATGACCATAATTGTGAAAGTATTGGTTATATCTTGGTACAAAATTGGTATGTGCACAATTTCTTTTTCCCCTTTACTTCACTCTGTGCTAGTAGTTTTATCACTTTTGTGTGTAGGAGTAATTGTGCAAACTGATTTGGAGAGTCAATGTCAAACAAACTCTGAGTTCCTCTTTGGTTTGCCCTAGAAGAGCCCTAGCTTTCCTATACAAGAGTTGGATTTCAACAGTGGAGTAAAGTGTTTCCCAACTTTTGTCATGTTTTGAAAATCAATTTTATTAGTCAGTGGATAAAACTCTCTTTTTTTTTCCAAAAAAAAAATCATTATTATAATTCAATTATGACTTAAATTCACAAAATAAAAATGGTAAAATTGAATAATATAAATACAATGAATAACATATAATAACGAAACTGTGAATATAAGGTGGGAGGTAAAGTTATATTTTATTTTTTTTATATTTATTTTTTATAATTTTCTTTGAATGAAATCTAATTATAATATAAGATTCTTAATTAAAATATGTATCTTTAACTAATGTTATAATAAGTGAAGGTATTTATAATTAAGAAATATTAAATTTTTTTAATTGATAAATCAATTATAATAAATGGTAAAGGATATGGTGTAATAAAAGTGATATAAGTAATAAAATGTTAGTAAAGTGTTTAAAATGGAGGTTAAAATGTTAGTGAAGTGTTGAAAATAGAGGTTAAGGCTTTGTTTGGTGTAGTGAAAAGAAAGTACGTGAAAATTAATTGTTTAAAAAGTGAAAATGTGAAAAAGAATTTAAATTAAAAGAATAATTAAATTTACAAAGATAGTTTCTCTCATTATAGTTAAAAAATGCGAAAAATAACTATATATTGGTCTACAAAATCGAATATAAAAAAATAATTGATTATGGAGTCTTATTTCCTTTTTAAACGTAATTGACTAACCTCTTTTTATCACATATTTTTTATAGAAAAATGAATAATAAAAATATCAATAATAAAAATAATAATAAAAGTACACTAACAATAAAATAATAAATTATAGTAAAAATAATATTAATTATAAAATAATGTTAAATAATAATAATAATAAATTTATTTATTAAAAAAACTAATAATTTTATCATGATAGTGTTACTATTTTAATATTGATAACACAATTTATTACATAACTTATTTAATATTGATAACACAATTTAATTTAATTACTATTGAACCTCACTTTAATTTAGTACTCTTAGTAAAATCTATTTTATCTAATTGAAGACAACTTAGTAAATGAAAATAAAATGATGGGGTATTAATTAACATATCAAATATTAAAATCTAAATATATTTTATGATAAAATTAATGAATTAAAGATCTAAAATTAGTGAAATAGGTCAAAAGTTATTATTTCCAGGTACGAATAAAATTTGCAGAGTAATGATTCATGTTACGTTGTTAGATTCGGAGTATACTAATTTGTTGTGATAGCAGTCAAATCACTCGTACTGCTTAATTCTTTAACCATCTCAAAACTTTTGAAACAATTCATGTAAATTTTTAAAACTTATTGCATTAGTTTAATAATATAATAAGAGAAATAAAAAAATACATATATATATATATATATATATATATATATATATATATATATATATATATATATCCCTTACTTTACTGTTTTGAAATAAAACTTTTTTAATAGATTTTTCATATTTCAAATCTTAACTTTCTAATATAATATAATATATGGAATAAGATAATAAATTTGGTCACTTTCAATAAAAAACATATGTAATATTTAAAATACTAATTACTACCAATGTAAATCATAATAAAAAAATCCATAAATTTTGTATTTATGTAAACGACATAAAAATTGCTAATTCATAGAATAATAACTAGATAATAGAATAAATTACAGAGTTAAGATTAATAATAATTTATATATATATATATATATATATATATATATATATATATATTCTCTTTTAATCTATAAAGATATTTTTAAAAATAAAATTATGATAAATTTAAAATTTAAAATCAATAATACTTTAAATATAAGAATTAATTTTAACAATTTTACTATACGAGATCAATACATTCATATTTATAAACTAAAATTCAAATTATATTTTTAATTTAATTTTATTATTCATCTCTATTAAATTTATCATTAATAATGCTTAATAAAATTGAATCATATTTTAAATTTTAAAATTTAATTAAATAATCATTTTTATTATAAAATTATACTACTTATTATTCATTTATTACAATTAACTATTACAAAATATGTAGATTAAATTTGATAAAAAAAATATTTACTTTCAGATTCTGCATATATAAGTAGATAAAAAGAAAAGTAAAAGTAAATAAGAAATAAAATAAAATTTAAATGTGTCTAGTTATAAAAGTAAATAAAAAATATTGATGAAATTTACCTACTTTTTTTTCTAATAAATAAACCCAATTGAATTCACCATTTTTATTTGACTTGATCCTTTATCAATTGTGTTAAATACCTTAATAGAATGTCTTATCAATTATTGTTCTTATTTTATTGAAATAAAATTCAAGTCCACAAATAGTAAATATGAATTTTCTTTTTTTTTAGTCATCCAAACAAAGCATTTGTATATTTAAAAATAAAATTTAAATTGATGATTGTGTATTTAGTCAGAAACAATAATTACATCTTAAAAACAGAATCAATCATTACAATTTCGATTATAGCCTCCAAAATGGAGGTAATGTAGTGGCAGTGCAATAAAATATTTATTATTCTGAATTGACTTTGGAGCAGAACAAGCTTTTTAACCAAACAATTCAGGTCTCGTACATTGTGAAAAACATCAAATCTTAGACACAAACACACATGACGCATTTATAATTATATATCAAACATTTTTTTTCTAAAATAAACACGGTTTTTTATGATTAAACTTTAATTTTTTTTATACTTTCTAAAAATAAGTACTCTGATTTGTTACATTTTACTATTTATATTTTAGTTAGAGAAAATGGTCAAGTTTTAAATAATGTGATGGCATGTATTTTATAGGGGGGATAATACATTTTTTTTATAACACATTTTATTAGTAAAAAAAAAATTCATTTTTGTATTTTATTTTTTATATGCAAAATCGTTTTTTTTTTCTAAAGATGTTCGTAAATTGAAATTTTATTAATAAAATATACAAGTGCAAAAAATTAGTGGTGTAATATGTCATGGAAAACGAAAATGATGTTTGAGATTAGCACAATACACCAGAAATTATAAAAGTGTCTCAATATTTTGTTTAAGAAGCAAAAAGAAAAATGGAAAGCAAAAAGAAGAATAAGAAAATGGAAGAGGATGATAGAAAAATGGAAAAAGTTAGATAAAGATACAATTGGGCTCGAGAGATAGACAGCCCAAATAGAGTTGGGCTTTAAAAAACTCAAATCCTTCTTCTTATTATATTCTAATAAGAGCTCAGTTTTTCTCTTTTACATCCTATCAACCTACCAACAATTACTAATGGATCTAACAAATTTAGTTTTAAATAAACAAATTTAGAATTCATTTTTTAATAGTATTTTTTAGAAATACATTCTAAATTCAACAATTAATAACTTATTTTTAGATTCTATTTTTTAGAAATGTATTATGCATTGTTGAATGCATAGTATATTTCCTAGAAAATACAATCCAAAACTCATTTTTAAATTATGTTTTCTGAAATTAATTTAAAAAAAAATTGGATTCGTCTTTCCAAAATATCAATCCAACAAATTTTTGAAATGAATTTTCAAAAACCTATTTATATTAGGGTAATATTATCATTTTAGATAAATATGGGTGCATGAAAAAAGGTATGGGAGTATAAGAAGAAACCTGTATAAGAATTGGAAAGGCCCAACTTCTTCCACCTTATAAAAATTTTGATCTAACAATTTTAATGCAATTTTTACATTCTGAAAAAAATAATTCCAAAGTGAAAGAATTTAGACAAAAAAAAAAAGATGCAATAAGAAATACTCATCAACATTTATGGGGTAAACTTATGCTTAGGGATATCAATTTTAATAGGATACCAAAACTTTGATTTCATCAACGCCATGGAGTATTGTTTTCAAATCATGCTTTATATTTTTCTTTTTATTATTGATAAAACTTTACTAAAAGTACAAAAATCATAAATAATGTTTTTAATGAGTTTTAATTAAGAATAAAAATGTGTATTAGAGAAAAATATCTTGCTTACATGTTTTCCCAATAATTTGAAAGCTGCAGATGAGAGGAGAGCCATAAAGTATTGGGCCTAAATGATGGGCCCAATCATTGTTGACCCAAATAAACAAATGATTATAAAAAATAAGAAAGAACAACCAAACACACACACACTTGTGTTAAATGACCCCAAAACCTTAATTTCAACGACTCTCTCTTATGACAGACAATTCGGAACCTCTGCCACAACGCCAGGTTCTTCTCAATTCCTTACTCTTCTCATTCCACCTTTCTCTTTTCTCACTTCTTCTCCATCACCCCACCTTCAAGTTCAACCACACCCCTTCTTTCACCTTTCCGCTTGGCAAGTTCTTTGTTTTTCTCATTTGGGTGTTCCACTATTTGCTCCCCCAAACACTCTATTGGGTGTTCTTCAACTTTTCGCTCTAATATTGATAATGGGCACTCGCGCTTCAATCTCAATTTGCACTTTCACGTTCGTGTGTGTTTTTGTACGTGTACGTATACTACTTACAAGGCTAGACCTCTTGCTACTTCAGAGCAAGTTGCTCAAATCATTGCACTGATTCGTGAGGATGAGGATGATTTGGGTTCCAAGTTGAATAGTATGAACGTGTCTTTGTCTCATGCATCAGTTGTTGACATTTTTCAGAGATTAGCAAGTGAAAGATTGCCAGCATTACAGTTCTTTGATTGGCTTAAAGCTTCCGATCCTGATATCTGTTGTGATCCCGATTTAGGTAGCTTGTTTGTTAATAACTGTGGGTTGTTGGGGAATTATGAGGCAATGATTCCCCTTTTGAGTGAATTTAGCCTTCAAAATGTATTTTTGGGAATGAAAGCTTTTGGGTTTTTACTGGATTTGGGTTTGGACAAGGCTTCTAGTATGGTATCTGTGAAAAAGGTCATGGTTGTGTTCAATGAGGTTGGTGGGGTTTATCAAAGTTGTGGAGTTCAGTTGTTGATAGAAATGTTTGGTTTTTCGGGATCGTTTGAGATAGCTAAGTTTGTGATAAGAACAACTGGGAGGAAGGAGAAGAACTATCATGTCTTAATGAGGATAATGTGTAAGAGAGGTGATTGTAAAAGAGTAGGAGATTTGGTTATGGAGATGGAGAGAAGTGGTTGTGATATGAATGCAAGTACTTATAATTTGTTACTCAGTTGTCTATGCAAGAGTGGTAACATTGATGAAGCTTGGCAAGTGCTTGAAGCTATGGAGAAAAACCAGGGTATATCTGATGTGCATAGCTTTGATATTCTTATTAACTCGTTTTGTAAGCGCCATCAGTTTGATTTGGCTTTGAAGCTTGTTGATAAAATTACATTAAAGGGTATTGAACCTAGTATTTTAACTCATGTTGTAGTAATAAAGTCCTATTTTGAATCAGGAAAGTATGAGGAAGCACATGAGTATGTGATTGGTTCTGCTGGTAAGCTGAGCTATTCTAGCAATGCAAATTATAGCTTGCTTGCTACCCTTCATTTGAAGAATGGGAATGTGCTGCTTGCCAGTAAGGTTATTTCTGAGATGATGGACAGGGGTCTTAAACCTAATTTTTCAGCATACAAAAAAATTAAGACTCATCTTGAGAAGAAAGATGAAAAAGCCTTGTTTATGGAATTATCAAGAAGATAATTGAGCTTCTTTGAAAATGAAGAAAGATGTTGGATTTTATGTGACCAGATACTGTAATGGCATTCAGTGTTTGCTTAATAGTTGCTCTTTGATTTTGCCGGTATTCAGGTTTGCACTACTCCACTTCAAGTATTGATTTCTAGTACTGAGAGAAATTATCCGTTTGATGATCATCTTGATGTTTTATTAATGACAAAAGCTCACCTCAAGTGGTTGTCATGTAAGAAGAAGAGCAGCAATAGAGGCTCTTAAAATGAGTTCAGTGGTGGAATCAAATGAAAGATATTCCGGCTAAAATGGATAAAGGAAGACCAAGAAAACGTTGGACTAAAAAAGACCTTACAGTAAATTATTTAATTGAAAACGAAGCTCAATGGGGTCCAAAGAAGAAAGCTTGGTTGTTGCTGACAAGTGGGGAAAAAAGTGTACGTCAAAAAGGACAACGCATTCCCCCTCGATTTATCCAAAACAATGATTTTTCATGTAATGTTTTTTATGATAATGACAGAGGTAGTTAAGTTTGCCCCTCCCACAGCCCCCCTCCAAAACAAGCAAAGTGGTGTCTGCCCCCTTTGGTCCCTTAATGCAAATTCTTTAGTTTGGTGCTTGTTTTCTCATATGTTCTTGGTCCTTTGGTTGTTTATTGTTTTGTTTTACATTTATTCTAAGTTTCTGACTTGCCAAAATAATAATAACAATAAAGAGTGAAAAGAAAAATGGGAATTTGATGGCAAACCAATTTGTTGTGGAAGAAGAAGTGGACTAGTTGATGAGAATTGTACATCTAATCCATTGCATTTCTCCGTCTTATTAATCTATTTCTTTCTCTCTTTTTCTATTCTGTTTTGTGGTAATTAAGTAACTTGCTTTCTGCCCTCCAAACATCATTTGCTTTGTTTATTTTAGATTGTGTTGTAATGCTGAACTAGATAGCATATGTTATACTTTCTCATTTTTTGTAAGAGTCTTCTGGGCACAAAATATAGCATTGTATTATTTGGTCAGAACATTTAATGCTATGATTTAGGGGCTTGAATGAATGATGCTAATCAACAGAACATAAAGCTACAAGCAACTTGCTTCAGAAACAAACCTGATATTTAACTTTCAGTCTTACACGCTTCCGTAATTTGGGTATCATCCTCTTACTGCAACTCAAGCATATGGTGGACACTTTCCCCACAATCCCTCACACATTAGTATCCCCAGGTATGCTTTTTCAGCAATCTAAATTCTTTTCTTTTTTGTTTTCCTGCCTCATTATCAAACTGAGGGATTTTTCATTCATAGATTGTTGGATCTGTAGTTGTATCCACCAGAGACTCATCGAGGATCACTCAATTTCATTCGGATATTTCTTTGAAGAAAACCCCAATTTTATATGACTGCAGTTTTTGAATCACTCACTACATTTCTAGGTCATCTTCTGGCTCTTCTAATAGGTCCCCATCCTTTTGCGTTTACTCAATTGTTTATGCTTTCATCTAAAGTCAGGCAAAACTTGTTGAAGTGTTCTTTGACATATATTCACGGTTATGTGGTAGGAATGAAATATGTGAACTTTTAACCTTAGCACTCGTCACCGAAATCCCCGAAAATCTAGTGTGAAATATAATATGATTTTATTTTCTGTACAGTATATAGAGAGAAAACAACGCCTATTCAAAGACAGGCTATTCCATTCCAGTACTTCTAGATGTATGGATTTTCTATCAAGATACTGCTATAATTGTTTTCATTTGGTTTTCTGGTTTTTAGAAAATTGTTATAGAATTTTGATCATGAGTCATATTTAGTTTCTATTGTCCTTGGGTTAAGTATTAACTGAATATTTTCACATCTGTATTTCTTCAATTATTTGGGATAGGGTCGTGAATGCTTTGCTTGTGCACCAACTGGTTCTGGGAAAACCCTTGCTTTTGTGTGTCCAATGCTTATGAAGCTGAAGGTATTGCTTATTTTCTCCATCCATGTTTTGCAGTTCCCAATTTTCTGTGTACTTGGTTCATATATTCTATTATCCATTATGTTTTACAGGACCCTGAAAAAGGTGGCATTAGAGCTGTTATCTTATGTCATACCCGTGAACTATCCGCTCAAATATTTCGAGACTGCAAAAAGCTTGCCAAAAGAAAAAAAATTCGTGTCAAGTTAATGACTAAAAATCTCTTAAGAAATGCTGATTTTTCAAAGTTTCCATGTGATATTCTAATATCCACGCCACTCCAATTATAATTGGCTATCAAGAAGAAAAAGGTTGATCTCAGTAGGTGCGTGATGATGCATTCACTTTTGTTGATCTAAACTTGAAATTCTTGAAATACCGAACAAGTAATTATTACAGACTTACTATATAAGTATCTTTTATCGACAATTATTTTTATCTTAAATGTTTATTTATACGGTTATTATTGCTGTGTCACTCTTACACTGCAGTTTTCTGATCACAAATAATTGATTGAAGTATGCTTTATTAATTATCAATCAATTGCATACTTGATAGAAATGGTGTCCTGTAATGGGAAGTATGGTAATCTTGAGAGGGACATTTTCCGTTTAGTATCCATTCCTATTGATTGTGCTTGACAATTAAAGTGACATGGTCCAACTGGTGCTGGTGTAGCTTCAGTTTATAGATTATAATGCTTTAAGCATTACACAATTGTGCTTGATTCTTTTAGATGTGTCTTACAATTGTGTTTACAAAGTCAGTAGCAGCATCTGATGCAATTTATTAAATAGCTCATTAATGATATTGATTTTTTTCCTTTTTTATTTCTTCCGACTACTTTGGGTGTTTCAGAGTTGAGTATCTGGTCCTGGATGAATCGGATAAGCTCTTTGAGCCGGAGTTATTTAAGCAGATTGATTCTGTTCTCAAGGCATGCTCCAATCCCTCAATCATACGCTCACTGTTCAGTGCTACTTTACCTGATTTTGTTGAAGATCGAGCTCGAGAACTTATGCATGATGCTGTTCGTGTAATTGTTGGCAGGAAGTAAGCTCACTGCAAAACATTTGCAAACATGATTCGCCTGATCCTTAATACAATTTTCCTTCACGTTATTTTATATATAATGTCTAATGCTTTTATGTGGATCAGGAATATGGCCTCTGAAACAATAAAGCAAAAATTGGTTTTTACTGGAAGTGAAGATGGAAAACTTCTTGCAATTCGCCAAAGTTTTGCAGAGGTAAATGGCTAACTAATTCATTTGGTAATAACGCTGGTCTGTCCAATTTTCTTATGCTTCAAAAGTCAAGAGGTTGTGACTCACAGTTAAACATTAGTTGGTGTAGGTATGTTTAAAAATAAATTAGAATTTTCTCTAGAACTTACTATCATTATATATTTTCCTATTATTATTCTCTTTTGTAGTCCGATATTTGTTTTACTGATTGTGCACTGCATGTATATAATTTTAAACATTCTGTTTATTCTGGGTTTGGTGTTGTATAACATAATATATATAGACTTTGAAGGTTGAATTCTGTATCACTTATCTTTGCTTAGCTTTGGAACTTGTAACAAGCATATAATATTGTGGTCCTTCTCCTGTGAGATACATTGGTATTTTTTAGTTGGTTGCCTTTGTTGACCCTTATATTTGCTGCACTGCAACATCTTGTAGAGTTTAAATCCTCCAGTATTGGTCTTTCTCCAAAGCAAGGAACGAGCCAAGGAGCTGTACGGTGAACTTGCATTTGACAACGTTAGAATCGATGTCATCCATTCTGATTTGTCTCAACAAGAGGTTGTTCTCTATCCCTTTGAACATCATAAGATATTTATGTGAAAATACGAAGAAAATCTGAAGCATTCCCCCTCCTCTCCGAAATACAGAACTGGTATGTGTGTCTGGTTTTAAATATTTGAATATAATATTCGCTGTGACAATTTTTTTATCTACTTTACTCAATAAATAATAAAACTTATTAATTCTATAAAATCTAAAGTATATATATATATATATATATATATATATATATATATGATTTAAATGTATAAATAATTTGTTGAAAGAAACATTAATATAATTTTAATAATAATTAGAACTAGTACGTTCAAAATCCAATCAATAAAAGTAAGAGAAAAATCGATTTTTTATTAAAAAAATTTAAAATTAATTAATTTAATTTTCAATTTAAACCTAAATCAAATCAAAATTATAATATATATTATTAAAATTTTTAAATTGAGTGTAAAAATATATAAAAATAAACTAAAATTATTAAAATTATAATTATTTATACATAATATTTTTATAATATATTTTTATTAAATAATTATTTTATTATAATATATTTAATATTTTTTAATAAAAAAATCACAAAAACCATAAAAAATAAATCATAATAATTTTGGTTGAAATTTTGTAAATCATAAAAATCAAATCAAGCCAAATCACATCTAATTTTTATTTTTAATTCGAATAATTTTTTAATATAACATCAAACAACGATCACTTTCTTTATTATTATTTTTTGTGTGTGGTTGATACAATAGATCGAGAAATAAAAGTAATTAAAGGTATAACAAAATTGTATCTTTTGACCAATGCTTATTTTGTTTTTTTTTAATATTCTTGTATAAAAATGTACTTATACATAGGGATGGCAAAACGGGCCAGCTGTCCGCTTTGGCCCGCCAAAGCTGAGTGGCGCGTGGCTGACCCGATATAGTCATGACGGGCTATAGTCCTTGGCCGCCCCACCAGAGGCGGGTTGACTAGCTAGCGAGTTGGCACGCCATAATTTAGAAAAAATATATTTTTTTAAATAATTTTTTTAATAAATTTAATAATAAAATTATTATTTGTTTGTCAATAATTCAATATATATATATATATATATATATATATATATATTATTTCAATTTAATAATATAAATCAATACATTATTTTAAGAAATTATAATTTAGAACAATAATGAAATTTACATAATAATAAATAATAACAAATATATATATATATATATATATATAATAACGTTAAACTTA